ACATCTGTAGGTCAATATTTGACAGACGATTAACCAAATATTTCTTGAAATGGCAAAATATTATTTGCCAGTGTTCATCAAAGTGTTCCATTGCAGTTACAGCTACAAAGGCAGACAGACACATGCTGAATATCCAGGTGCATTTCCATGCATTTGCTACAATTTACTACCATTATTGTTCTGTAGTTTTAGTTAAATGCTCACTGATTCAGCATTGTGCACAGCAGGGCAAGAACAAGAGTTGCACACTGCCCTCATAAAAGGCTACACCAGCGGCAGTGATCCACTGCTGCTGCTGCTGAAATATACCACCTACCACCTCACAGTACTCACATCCATTGTTTGGTCTCCATAAATCCTCAGCAAACATCAAAGAATATCAATAAGTGCCATTTTTTCTGCATAAAGAAACTGAATGACATCCCTCTCCTTCATATGTACTTCCATGTCAGATAACATTTGTCAAATTGCCCCTCTGCTGCCATCTGTCACATGGCAATAAAATGGAATAAAACAGTGGTGGGAAGGTTCAGCCTCTACTGCCACATCACTAACATCTACCTCCGTCATCTTAATAAAATAGGAGGCACTACTTTCAGAGCAGACTTCATGCATTTCATAGAATCATAGAATCATAGAATCACCAAGGTTGGAAAAGACCTAAAAGATCATCCAGTCCAACCGTTCACCTATTCCCAATAGCTCCTACTAAACCATGTCCCTCAATACAACATCCAGTCTTTCCTTGAACACCCCCAGGGTCGGTGACTCCACCACCTCCCTGGGCAGTCCGTTCCAGTGCCTGACTACCCTTTCCGAAAAGTAATAACTTCCTCAAGTATTTCTGACAGTTATTACAAATGAATTATATACTTTCATTTAATTCATCCCAGACACCACCAAATAATTCCCATCTTGTGTTAATTACAGCATGTGAATCTATAAATTCAATTGCTCAATGGTCAAGTACAAAGGAATCACTCACTGCATGGTTTTATAACTTTAAATATTAGTAGGATACTGACTGTCACAGTGTGCCACATTTCAATTCCTTCTTTACTTTCTTTTATGCTTAGAAGGACTAACAGCAAGTTTCTTTTCTATCTTTCATAAGTTAATTACTAGGAGTCTCTCTCTAAAAATTCAAATAGAGAATATATGATAACAACGTACTACGCTATTCACTATTCATCTTACTTCTCCTGCAATTAAATACTAAAATGAGGGACAAAATTCATGTCATGTGGTTTAGTGGGTAATATTTCCATGGGTATGTGGATGGTTGGACGAGATGATCTTGGAGGTCATTTTTGAACTTATACTCATTCTATAATCATAATTTAATGACTAAACCTTTTTTTTTAAAAATCATTCATTTGTATAAACTAATTATTGAGCTGAGTCAATATGCAGAATTGACTTCTTAAAGATAAATATCTCACCCGTATATACATGAGTGTGTGTGTATGTGTATAAAATAATTTATGTGTATAAAATAATGGAAGAAAGAAGCATTCAGGTGTATATTTCTATCTGCCACTAAGTAGTTTCAAATTTTTTTCCAGAAATCTGCAAAATCCATTCTGAAGCTTTCCATTGAGAAATTTATTAAGGAGGGAAGCAATGAAATTGTGTTAATATTTCATATCCTTATAGAACACCTTTTAATCTGAGAATCGTAACTGGACTAAAAGTGGAGAAATAAGAAATATGTCATTCTGAGCACACCATAAAATATATATCTGAATTGGACAGCCACTGTAATTTCCAGCTTTTCATAGCTCATTATAACAGAAAAAAAATTATAGATTTCAGAAGTTACTGGATAACTGAATAAAAATGCCTTCTCTATATGTATTACCCATTATGAAAGGTCAACACTGGACTTCACTGTCTTCTTTCTTAAGTGGGAAAGCTCTAAAACATTTATGCTTCCTGATGACTAAAACAGTCTTGTAAAATATGTATGCTAAGTCTAACAAAATGACATACCACATTTAACTACAGAATATGACCTGAATGTGACAGAATATGCTTTTTAAACACAAATAGGCTTAAACACTTTTAAATTAGAATTTTTCCTTTTTTTCACAAGAAAATTAGTAAAATTTACTGTATCATTTTTGTATATAGGCATTTCCATGATCTTTGCCTTTTTGGTAAACCGAGCACTTCTTAGTTACAAATTTTATAATGGTAAGTAACACCTTATAGGATGTTTTTATTTATATATGCTCTCATTCATATATACATACATGATATATATGGTTTAGTGGGGAACCAGTGGTGATAGGTTGATGATTGAAATGGATGATCTTGGAGGTCTTTTCCAACCCTGATGATTCCATGACTCTATATATCATATATATGTATAATATATATATATATATGTATATAAATTCATGAATATGAATATCTAATACACATTTTTATGTTTACAAATGCATACAGATTGATAGAGAGATCAATTCAGAGATGAACCCTATTACGCAAAAGGAAAATTCAAACAGAAGTTTTAAATGGTGAATTCTTCAACTGGAAATTGCTTTTAACCATTATATTTTGGAATATCTAATGGCTAAGCCTAATAAATAATCTTTATTTTTAAAGAGAAGGATATGGTCCATGACTTAGTTGCCAGGCAACTGTATGGCATTGCAAAACACTTTCTTAAGACATTCTGCTCTGTGGAATGATGGATCCTTGTAGTGGGGGGAGGCCCAGACACAGTTCTCTGTAAAGCTGATTGTAGAAAGAGTTTTGAAGTATTCTAAATACACCAAAGCACAACAGTGCCTAAAATTGTATAAGCTGAAGCTCATTTATGACCATGTTCTTTGTAACGTCTAATAGCCACAAATCAGAAGAAATGCCAAGATCTGTTTTACTTACATCCCAGCACTGGGATGTACATCTACCCACAATGATGGCTGGAATGGTCACTGATTCACTGAGGGGAAACATACAACTCAGAACAGCAGTGTTTTTTAAGCCATACCAACAAATTACATGAAATATATTCATGCCACATACAGGTAGAAGAAGAATTTATCCATCGTTATTTTTCGTCATTCTGTATCATTATGTGGATTGTTCTAAAAGGAATTGGTACAATGACAAGTAAAGATCTCCTCTGGCATCTCCTCTAAGACATCAAACTTATACTGAAAATGAGCAGCAACCAATGTCCTATACAAAGGTAGCCTTTGTAATCTTTGTAATCTTTGAAGTGAACATAACTTATTTCCAAAGCTTTAAGCAAAACATCAGGGTTAATTCTCCCCACCAACACTGTTTCATTTGACTGTCTCACTTGATCTTCACGATCACTTAGAAAAAGGGACATACTGAACTGAAAGCATACAGGCACACGAATATAAAAAGCTAGACTGTTACTGACTTTTAAGGCACTTTATTTTTCATGTTGTTGGCACCAACCCCAAGATATCTCTTGACACAGCAGCAAGGTGCAGCTATAATAACTACAACTGCTGAATTCCTCAGAAATGGAAATGAATGCCAAGTAGGACAGCTTACCTCATTTCTCTGAGATGTGCTCTTGAAGATATATCTTCTTTCCAAAGAGATGCTTGAAACAGCTTTCATGGCCTCTTCACAGTCCATACCTTGGATATTTCAATTTCACATGCATAAAAAGTTCTGTTTTTGACATATTTGGAATTAGGTGCAGACTGTTGCTATGACAGACTTTTGCTTGCTGAATTTGATGGGTACAATCTGATGATGCTGGTCAAGATCAGCTGTGAAAACCCACATCTCTGTTCTGATTATTATTGTATCTGGGATTTCACTTCTTTTGATGCTTGACATGGATAATCTTTTTGTTGACATTAGTTTGACTTTGCTGAGAAGTACTTTGCCATCATTTAGTCAGCTTGTGAGCTTCTTTTTACAATTCTTGAGATTTCTCCTGGCTGGAAAACCTACCATTCTGCAACATCCACTTCAGAGTAGGGAAGCACGTACAAAACATCAGAGTGAAATGTGTTTCTGATTCAGAAGCAAGGAAAAGCAAACTAATATGAGTATGTTATTTTCAGTCAAGGAACTGTTACAATGTAGTGCTATATGTAGACAGGGAGCTTAGGAGTTACAGGTGCTTAAAACACTTAATATGCAAAAGGAAAGCATTAAAGCTTTCTATTAGGCAGTGAATTGCTCTTAAGACACTAGTTCTTGAAATGTTTCCCTCTCAATCACGAGGTACATGTATTCTACTTATGATGACATGCACAGCAAGATGACATTCTTGCTTTTCCTTTCTGCTTTCAAATTCCTTGCAATAGGGTACATGACCCATGAGAAACCAGAAGAACCCTAGGAATCATAGAACACGCCTTCTCTTCTCTAAAACACTCTTCTCTGCTGTAGTGTCCTGTAGTGTCATCTGCTGTAGTCAGAATGTACTTTCACAGTTTCCAATATATTTATATTGCTGAGGTGAGTGCAACTATGAAGGATGGAAGTGATTTCCATATAGGGTACTAAGAAATTTTAGCTCATTTGAAAAACTTTTTGCTTGGATCCTAAAAACAACTCTTCCTACATCTGACCTTGAACTCTGCATTTCTGCCAACAGTTCAGGGCTCAAAATACAACTAGTGACAGCAGTTAGAAAAAAAAGCAACCAAAGATATTTTATTAAGTAAGCAGATGTGAAATGGTATTACTCAAAGTCAAGTATACATGGAGCCCTATTGTCCCATCTTTACATTTATTCTGATGACAGAATCACAGAATCACAGAATCACCCGGGTTGGAAGGGACCTCAAGGATCATGTAGTTCCAACCCCCCTGCCCAGCAGGGCCACCAAACACACATTCAGATCAGGTTGCCCAGGACCCCGTCCAACCTGGCCTTGAACACGTCCAAGGACGGGGCATCCACAACCTCCCTGGGCAGCCCATTCCAGGGCCTAACTACTCTCCTTGTGAAGAACTTCCCCCTAACATCCAACCTAAATCTTTCCTCCTTCTGATGAGTTGCATTGTACTATGACTAAGTTTATGTAGATTTTTAACATATATTTTTCTGCATTCACTGTTCCTTACTTCTTGATCTAAAATCTAATCTGACATAAAGGTACATTAAATAGATCAGACTGAGAAAATATTTGGGAATGGCTTTTTTAACAAACTAATTTATAGTACATAATTACTAAGTCAGGTATAATAATAGTTCAAAAACTGGACTGTATTACAAAGCATTTCTTCAAACATTCCTTTTGGATTATTGCTGAAAGGTACTAACTGGTCTATTCTTGACTAGCTAACAAACGTTCATAAAATAGTGAAAAATGCATGCTTTAGAAATCTGGTTTATTCCTGCCTATGGACTAAAAAGAATGTGAAGTTGGAAGCAAGTGATGAACATTTGTAAATGTGCATTAGTGGCATTTACAGTTTCTTTTCTTTTGTGCTAACAGAATCTTCAAAGTTTTTCTCATTTTTTTCAGGTGATTTTTTGTCTTCAGGTTTAATCCATGGAGGGTTGTGCAACATCTGCTGAGGGTGAAAGCAGCATCAGTGCAAGCATCCTTTGACAGTGGAAAAAACCATGCAACACTAAGTTTTTTTTATTTATATTTTTAAACTTGCTTCTTTTGGTCTCTCAAATGAAAAGCACAGGTGTACAATTCATGTAAGACTTTTTCATTCGTAGGATTACTGATTACAGCTTGGCATAATTGCAGATTCTCCTACTCTTCCCAATGCTGTGGATATGACCATATTAAATTGAGCCATTTGACTACAAGGCTACTCCAGGTCAAGTATGAAACAGTTTTGAAAACTGTTAATAGCCAAAAGCTATCATGAATAGATGAACTGAAATGTGGAAGAGTGAGAGTCTGTGAATTGAGTAAGCAGTTCTGTCTCAAAAGCATTAGAATAGAATGTGTAGAAATACTTCAAGTAACTTAATGCTTTGCAAGATCTTTTAATAAAAACCCAACAATTTGTTGGAAATTGAATACCTGCAAGCTTGTCTCTGTTTCTGCTGTCTTCAAACGAGATGTTGAATTACTGTAATTCCCCAGACATGTCTTGCCAACCTGTCAATACAGATATCACAGGTAATTACTGTTATTTTTTTCCTCTAAAATACCCATTTAAAAAAAAAAAAATCTAATCATTGGTGACACTTCCCTGGGTAGTCTGATCTTCTTGTAAATCTTTAGGAATTTAATATTTAGTTTGCTTTTTTCCTTCTGTTTTTATCTCATAGAATCACTAAAGTTGGAAAAGACCTCTAAAATCACCAAGTCCAACCTCAACCCATTCCCATCATGGCAACCCAGTGCCACAAATTATACATGTTGAATTATGAGTAGTGAAATTCATTCCTATAGTGGTTCCATGGAACAGGTGAATAATTACAATCTTCTGTTGTGTGTGAGGAAATAGTAACACTGAAAATTGACATTGGAATTGAGGATTCTGGTGTCCAGAGAAGGATAATGAAACTGGTGAGGGGTCTGGAGCACATGCCTTATGAGGAGCAGCTGAGGGAGCTGAGATTGTTCAGTCTGGAGGAGGGGAGGCTCAGGGGAGACCTTCTCATTCTCTATAACTACCTGAAGAGAGGTTGTAGTGAGCTGGGGATTGGCCTCTTTTCTCGTGTAACTGGTGATAGGACTGGAGGGAATGGCTTCAAGCTGCGCCAGGAGAGATTTAGGCTGGATGTTAGGAAATACTGCTTCTCTGAAAGAGCGGCCAGGCAGTGGAATGGGCTGCTCAGGGAGGTGGTGGAGTCACCGACCCTGGAGGTGTTCAAGGAATGTTCAGACGTTGTGTTGAGGGATGTGATTTAGTGACAACTATTGGTGATGGGTGCATGGTTGGACAGGATGATCTTGTAGGTCTTTTCCAACCTTGGTGATTCTATGATTCCATGACTCTTTTATTATTCTTCTCTTGTCTGAACTACTAGATCTCTTCTGTATACTAAGCATAGAGCTTATAGAGTAGAGAAGTCAAAGAAATCTCAAGGTATCAGAAGGCTTGTTAGTCTTGATCACTGTCATTTTACTCCAACAAGAATGTCAATTTCTTTGCAAATATACTTTTTTAAATGATGGAAAACAGAGGTGAATAGTACAAAGAAGATGCTGTAAGAATTACATATCAGACTGCAAATCAAAAACACCTCTGCATTATAAGGCTTATGTCTTTAAATGGGACTAAAATTTCTACTGTAATTAAATTAAATGTCCATTCAGGACTAGAATTAATGACTCTATAGGCAAATAAATTAAAATGTGAAACACAGTAAAGCACAGATAGTCTTTGGCCATTGCTTTAATATTTACTCACATTGGAAGTTGTATATTGGTTTTGTTATTAAAAACTAATATATGCAAATGGAGTGAGAATTAAATGAAAGTATTTAAGTTGTAAAGGCTCTTTTCAACTGAATAGTGACTTGACTTCTTCCAAATTTTCACATCTTCCCCGGGATGTTTCCCCTCAGCATAAATTCCAGGAAAATGTTTGAGGCTAAGCCACAACAGAGTATCTTTACACACTCCACAAAATCAGAAGAGATGGTGAAAAAAAGTATAAAAATACTTAATATATAAATTTCTGCTTTGCTCATAGTAATATGAAGGCAAACACACATTCAACAAGAAACCAATAATCTAATGTTTGAGCATTTAATTTTAAAAGCTCTTAAATACAACACTGAAAATTCTGAATAGTGATAGCTACAAATGCATTAGTAGTGTTGCCTTAAGCAATACATTTTGTGTATGCAACAGCAAAGAGAGAAATTTAAGAAGATATGATAACTGAGGTTGGGCATATTGTTGAAATACTGTTCCTTCTTGATTAGTTTAGTATGCGATTTTATTAGCTAGACATATTTATATGAAATTCAGGTCATAAAATGTGCAGCTTGAATCATTAAAGCATGCAAAATTTCAGAAGTTATGGTTTTCAGTTTAGCTAGTGAATTATACAGCAGAGTAGGAGAAGTTTGCAGCTTGATGTATAAATTATAATAGTGGATCAGCTAAGTGTGCATCTTCATTTAAAAAGATTTTTCAAAAAGGCAATCAAAATTCAGCATTTCCTTGGCTATTAAACTATTCAATTTCATCTGCAAACTGGCAAATGATGCAACTACAAGGGTATCCCATTCTATCTAAATGCTGAATAAGAGTTGTGTTCGTTTCTGAAGTAATCATGTCATTTATCACAGGTAGACAGGAAATCAAGAAAATATTTCCATCTCTACTAATGTGATAAATTCTGGCAAATTCCTATTTGCACATATGGAAATAGGAGAATATGAGAAACAAAATCACGCTTTCTAATATAACACAAATTCTATCAGATGTTGCAATTTATTTGGTATTTGAATTGTTATTAATCCATGCATAATAATACAGGCCTCTTTCTTTACTGTATATGTGGCAATCTCTTCATTTCTAAAAGGCAATGGTCTACATGTCCATATAGCAGATTGCTGTTATCTCAGACTGCAATTTGCTAGGTCACAAGATTTTAGCTCTCCACTGAAAGAAGTATGCACTTACCGTAGAATATATTGAGTTGTAAGGGACCTATAAAAACCATCACGTCCAAACCTTAGCTCCACAAAGGACCACTCAAAAATCAGACCATGTATCTGTAAGTGTTGCCCAGATGCTTCTTGAACTAATTGAATGGATATTTTGAATTCTTATATTTCATCTTTTTTCCCCATAATAATACAACTTTTCCAATTTTTGAAGTTGAACATTAATCATTGACATATTTACAGAATAGCTGAACTATTAGAATGTCATTCTGCTATGGAAATAATGTTATTAGGCAAGTTAGGTCTACATTTTATTCCAGAAAACTGTTTATCAGATCTGCTAAAGAATTTTAACAGAGCAGTATTACTGAAATCACTTCAAGAATTCTATAATGATTTTCATCACTGGAATTCTGTTACGATAATGATTTCTTTATTCTCTCCCATTACTTCCTTGGGAAAGAAAAGGGAGAACACAGAGCTGACAGAGAAAAATGAAGGTAAATGCTGTGGTTGCTTAGAAACATGAATAAGTTTTGGTCCAATACTCAGTGTTCTTTGTCATGGAATGATTAATGAATGTGTAGTGTTTGTTTACTACAGGAAATTAAGGCAGTAAATAAAAGCACTATCACTTTTACCCATCAGTTACTCTACAAGGACACAGTGAGAAATGTAAGATGAGAAAAGAACAAATAAACATTTTATAACTTGTTGGGTTTTAGCACAACCAAGAAGATAGCTTTAAATGACACATATAGGAAATATTTGAAATGAAAAAGAGACAAAGGACAAAGTTGTCTTTATGAATCAGAAAAGGCTCCCAGGAAATTTATATTGGTCACACATTGGCACAAGCTGCCTAGGGAGGTGGTGGAGTCACTGTCCCTGGAGATGTTCCAGATGTGACACTGAGGGACGTGGTCAGTAAGTATGGTGTGGGTGAGCTGGGTTTGGACATGGGGATCTCTAGCGGTCTTTTCTGGCCTTAGTGATTCTATGATTCTGGGAAGAGAGAAAATAAATATATCTTTAACAGTGAAACTGAAGTTAAGATTTTATGGTGTTAGACAGACTGTATGTTTTGAAAGAAACAAAATGTGCTATATACTATATTCTACCCAATTCTGGCTATCACAAGTCGTACATCAAAGTTCATGACAGCAAAGATGTCAGCAGTGTCTAAATTAAATGAGCTAATTTCATTTGGCCTGTCCCTATCCTGTCGGTAAACAGCATTTCATTTGTACTCACTCCAGTGTATACTATATTAATTATAATGGACAAGCATAAAGCCATGAAGAAAAACTGCAGTACGTTTACACATTTGAGACAACTGGAAGAATGTATAGCAGCTGCAAAACTTCGGGTAAATACACAAAAAAACAAATAAGGCTAAAAGTACAAGAAAAGTTCAAATGGATTCTCAAGACTGAAATTTTATCTAAGTGATAGTGTTCATAATCCAAGTGGAGTTAGTTCCAGCTTCAGAACATTAGATTTTATTCTTTCTTCTCCTTTATTAGTAAGATCTTGAGATGTAATGTTTCCTTAGACATAAAGAAGATGCAATGTTTCTTTAGACATAAAGTTTTGACAGCAAATTATGCACTCTTGCAGATAGTGATAGTATGCTATTAATCTTTGCCCCTGTAGAGAGTGTGGCAGAGGAGAAGTCTGTTTATAACTGAAGAAAAAAAAAAAATAAATAAAAAAGAAGAAATAAAGATAATGAAGAAAAAAATAAATAAAACAATAAATGTATACATAAATGTGTAATTTATTTAGCTTATTTGTTAGGCACTCTATCACCTGGATCTACTCCCCAGTCTTTTCTTTGTACTGTGACATATTGCTGTGATTGCTACCAGCAAGCCACATCTCATCTCCATAGGAGATGGTTGTGTGTGGATGAAAGTGCTCAGCAGTTCACTCAAGAACTACTGTGATTGATATTTTTGATGCTATCTTCCATACTTTCACAAGCTAGAACTGTGGATCCTATCCCACTGTGGATGAGATTGCCTATGTTCACTATTACATCATCACTTAAGTAAATCACATGGATAATCACCTAAGGTTTTGATGTTTTCATAGCATCTAGATTAAAACCTGATTGAACTCACATCCTGAGAATTGCACTCCTGCACACTCTGGTTTTCTTCCTTTCTTGAGGCCACGTGCAGACTCTCTTTCTCTGCTGAGGCATTTTGCTGGATATTGAAAAAAAAAGAAAGAAAAGGAAAATTAAACCAACAGTTAATACAGACAAAACTTCATAAGAGTCAGTTTAGAAAATCAGGAAATTACAAAGATCAGATATTGCAAACAGCTAACTACTAAACGCACTGCATTTTCCGTAAGTTTTATAGAAAGGAATGTTTAATGTTCATGTTTTTGAATATTTAAAGGGAGGTGGGAGGCAAATGGATGAGGACAGGCTCTTCTTGGTGCTGCGTAGTTACACAATAAGGAGCAGTGGCCTAAAACTTGAACATAGGAAGTTCCATACAAAAATATGGGAAGACTTCTTTATGGTAAGGGTGATGAAGCACCAGAACAGGATGCCCAGAAAGGCTACAGAGTCTCCTTCTGTGGATATATGTAAGATCCATCTCAACGCCTACCAGAGCAACCTGCTACTAACAAAGAGCAACCTGTTAGTAACAAAGAACAGTGCTTGATAACAATGAACAACTTAAATAAAATTTTCTCTTCCATCAACGTTTAAATGGGGGGAAGAAAGAGAAGTGTAAAGGAGAAAAAAAAAAATTTCCAAACTCATATTTCTGTGCTTCTTGTGAAATAATGGATTATCATTTCATAACTGGTCTTTCATCTGTACTGAGTTATTTGCCTGTTTGGGCAGCAATCGTAGCACAGCTCTGCAAACTTAAATTTCCTCTTATTGAATAAGATGGCTATACGTGCATTGAATGATTCACAGCACAGGTACAGCACACATTAACCTGATTTCTTGACTACCTACAGCAGTAAATCTACACAGGAGGCTAAGAAAACCAGTCAGCTTGAACCTTTATTAACAGGAGAAAATAAACACCTCTGCCTAGATATCAGATTTCTCAGCATGTCACACTACAAAATGAGGGAAGTCTAAGAGATTTAGGGGAGACTGCCACCAAGGAAGCATTTTTCCCATGTCTTGCTTTCAAATACTACTGCTAATAAACAAAATAAAAACATTTCCCATTCTCATCTGATAACACTACAATCTGAGTGTAATGCTTTATCCTAGAAACTTCATTTGTTGTATGATTTCTACTTGACAGGCAGCACATCATCCAAGCTACTGCACAACAATCATCTCCAAATACTTTTCATATTGTTACCCTATGCCAACATTGATCTGTATATCTTGAGATCTAGATTGAAATGCCATGACACTTCTTGCATGGGTCCAAGGTTACCAGAACCATAAAGACAAAAAGGAACAGAAGATGGGAAGGAGTTTTGCCAGGTCCAGATTAGTTCCTATAGATTTGAGTTCTGTTCTTACAGTCAGAATGGCATAGAACATTCTCACATTTTATGCAGGAATGTTTAATCAATAACATTTCAAAGCTGAGATTGACTTCTTACACCAATCAAGGGAAAAAAAAATCAATATTAAAATAAAACACCAATACTTTTGAAGGTTTATAAGTTTGCTGATTATGTAGGAAGTTTTCAATAAGACTTTGCAAACAAAAGTCTTCTTGAAAGAATAACAACTCTTTATTATTAAAAGAAGTCTCTCATAATAAGAAAAGAATATCCTATTCTCTGCCGGAATGAAGTCCATTTACTAGATTGACAGCTAACCTGATGAAAATGTCACCAAGTACTCTGGAGCAAATTGATTTGGAAACAGTTTCTGAATTCCTTCCCAATTTGTCCAGAGCTTTTCTGAACTCTCCCCAAAACTTATCTATCCAGGATTTCACATGTGAGCATTTTTTAAAGGACCAGCAGTCCTTTAACCTTTTTTTCTTGGAAATATTTTTAGTTCCAAAATCTTCCTGGTGAGACTTCACAAACCTGACTAGAAAATGAAATAACTTGAAATAACTTGAAATAAGTTACATTTTTACCATGCATTATGCACACATGCTTGCTCATGGAACCCACTGGTGCTCGCTTGGTTTGTGTTCAAAATTTCAGAATACTTATACCTGAAAAGCAAGCCAAACTGATCAGTTCTTTCAGTTCTCTTCCAAAGTCTGTACTGGAAGAAGCTACAGAGCCTGTCCCTGCTACAAGCCTTTGGCATTCATTCACTTATACTTTGTACATTCTTTTACTTCCAATGTCTTACAAATGTTCTTCTCAAAGCCTGTATTTTTATTGTACTAGCCTCACTTTATGGCTAAAGAAGACCAGAAAGTTAAATCAACAGAATCCCACCTTCTATAATCTTTTGACTTTGAAACACAGCTGAATTCTTTCCTATTGCAGAGATGATCACAGAATGGCTTGGGTTTGAAGATGGTTTCAACCCTCTGCATGATCATGTTATTGAATCCTGCATCCTTCCTCATGGTTTTTCAGCATGACTGTACCTCTCCTTCTCTAGTCAACATTTGGTGATAGGAGATGTCACAGTTATACTGACAGGTCTACTCGCCAGATGATTTGCCCACACAAACCATCACATTTATGTCCTGTAACTTCAATCATCAGGTCATTCTTTTCCACAACAGGGGTTTCTATTGATATTCAATTACCACTGAGGATAAGGAAAAGGCAGAGGTTCTGAATGCCTTCTTTACGTCTGTCTTTAAAAGTCAGACCAGTTATCCTCAGGATACTCCTCTCTCTGACCTGGTAATCTCGGCTGGGGAGCACACTAACCCCCCTGTGATTCTGAAAGAAACAGTCAGAGACCTACTGCTGCAGCTGGACTGTCACAAGTCGATGGGGCCAGATGAGATCCATCCGAGAGTGCTGAGGGAACTGGCGGAGGTGAGAGCTGAGCCGCTTTCCATCATCTGTCAGCGCTCCTTGTTGACTGGTGAGGTCCCAGAAGACTGGAGGCTTGCCAACGTGACTCCCATTTTCAAGAAAGGTCGTAAGGAGGATCCGGGGAACTACAGGCCTGTTAGCCTGACCTCGGTGCCAGGGAAGGTTATAGAGCAGATTGTCTTGAGGGAGATCATGCGGCATGTGCGGGATGACTGGGGGATCAGGCCTAGCCAGCATGGGTTCGTGAAGGGCAGGTCCTGTTTGACCAACCTGATCTCCTTCTATGACCTAGTGACCCATCTGGTGGATGAGGGAAAGGCTGTTGATGTGGTCTACTTAGACTTCAGCAAAGCCTTTGACACTGTCTCCCACAGCATTCTCCTGTAGAAGCTGGCAGCCAAAGGCTTGGATGGATACACTCTTGGCTGGGTAAGGAGCTGGCTGGAGGGCCAGGCACAGAGAGTGATGGTGAATGGAGTCAAATCCAGCTGGCGACCGGTTGTGAGTGGTGTTCCCCAGGGGTCAGTGCTGGGGCCTGTCCTCTTCAATATCTTTATTGATGACCTCGATGTGGGCATCGAGTGCACCCTCAGTAAATTCGCAGATGACACCAAATTGGCTGGAAGGGTGGATCTGCCTGGGGGTAGCAAGGCCCTACAGAGGGATCTGGACAGGCTGGAGAGCTGGGCTGAAGCCAATGGGATGAGGTTCAACAAGGCCAAATGCCGGGTCCTGCACTTCAGCCACAACAACCCCAGGCGACGCTACAGGCTTGGGGCGGTGTGGCTGCAGGACTGCGTAGAGGAAATGGATCTGGGGGTATTGATTGATGGTCGGCTGAACATGAGCCGACAGTGTGCCCAGGTGGCCAAGAAGGCCAATGGCATCCTGGCTTGCATCAGAAACAGTGTTGCAAGCAGGAGCAGAGAGGTGATTGTTCCCCTGTATTCAGCACTGGTGAGGCCGCACCTGGAGTGCTGTGTCCAGTTTTGGGCCCCTCACTGCAAGAAAGATATTGAGGCCCTGGAACGTGTTCAAAGGAGGGCAACAAAGCTGGTGAGGGGTCTGGAACACAGGGCTTATGAGGAGAGGCTGAAGGAGCTGATAATGTTCAGCCTGGAGAAGAGGAGGCTCAGGGGAGACCTCATTGCTCTCTATAACTTCCTGAAGGGAGGCTGTAGTGAGCTGGGGGTCGGCCTCTTCTCTCGTGTCATCAGTGATACGACCAGAGGGAATGGCTTCAAGCTATGGCAGGGGAGATTCAGGCTGGACATGAGGAAGTATTACTTTTCAGAAAGGGTGGTCAGGCACTGGAATGGACTGCCCAGGGAGCTGGTGGAGTCACCGACCCTGGGTGTTCAAGGAAAGACTGGATGTTGTGTTGAGGGACATGGTTTAGTAGGAGCTATTGGGAATAGGTGAACGGTTGGACTGAGTGATCTTTTAGGTCTTTTCCAACCTTGGTGATTCTATGATTCTATGATTCTATGATTCTATGAATTTTCATGTTAAAGAAGTACTTCAATTAAGGATACTCATAGGATCTAATAAAATAATTGTACAGCATTTTGAATGTAAGAAAAACAAACTAAGCAATTTCCTACTGAGCAGAGAGAGGTTTATAATAACTTAATAAAATAAATAAATCAGTTGCATAAGAACCAAGATAGTTTTTCTACAGTGACATACACCATTATGACAAGCATATCCATAGTCTGGACTTTCAGTCCAGGAATCATTAAAGTTTTTCCAGAAACAGCTTTGCACTGGCCCAAACATACAAAATAACACACAGAGAAAGCCCGTAAGCTAGCAGGCATGCCTGCTCTACCTGGCTATACTTCATTACATTAGACTGGTGCCTGGAGCAAGATCAGCAGCAGAGCCCTCCAGGCTGGGGATGTTGGCATTCACCTCCTTCCAGAAAGGCTGCTAACCACGAAAACTAGAAACATGTAAAACAACCAATGCCAGAGCTGTGATAGAATCTTAGAACCATGAAGGTTGGAAGAAATCTCTAAGATCCCCAAGTTCAACCCCATACCATCTCCGCCATGCCCACTAGCCGTATCCCTAAGAACCATATCTCCATGTTACATGAGCACTCCAGGAATGGTGACTCCACCATCTTCTCAGACAGCCTGTGCCGATGCAGTACCACTCCTCAATTTTTCCCTGACATCCAACCCGAACTCTGGAAACCAAGGAATTCATCTGCAAACCACTGGCACGCACAGGCCAGTTATTCAAG